GTCTCTCCTAGTCCGCCTGGTCTGGAAGGAAATCAGCGCTCAGGTACGAACTCAGTTGTGCCTGTCTCTGCACACATGGTGCAGGAAGTAATGTGAGTACTCCGACCCAGTGAGTAATAAAAATTAAATAACGACTGAGAACATAAAATCCCACAAGGGCACAAATAATGCTATCTTAAGCAGCAACATCAGATAAACAGTAGAAACCAGTGAAATATAGGAAGAAAATCTCTTTGAAAACAATTAATAAAACAAGTATGCTCAAGTATGGTCAGCCATTGTTACCTGACCGGTCAGCTATTGTTACCTGACCAAACGCGTATTACAGTGCCATTGTTACCACTGGTAAGTCATTGTTACCTGACCAAACGCGTATAGTAGTGCCATTGTTACCACTGTTCAATAATTAATCACTCTAGATGGGTACCCGCGCTCACTGTGGGTGTGCAGACTCCGGAGGGGCTCCTACAGCCCAAGCGCTATCAACAAGGCCTGAAAGCCTGAACAGTATCAGTACGAGGCCTGAAAGCCTCCTCACCTCACTCATCATGCCCTCACATAAGGCCCTCGGCCTCAATCAGTCCAGAAATAGTCAACAGCCCCTCGGGCAACAGTAAAGCAATGATACTCAGCTCAACAATAGTTCAAATATCAGTTTAAAACTCCAAGTTTGAGTAAATATGGCTGAGTTCAAGAAAACAGTGTAAATTACATGGACTGAGTTCAATTAATATTTCAAACACCCAAATATGGCAATAAGCCCAAATCATAGCAAAAACAACAAGTCATGGCTAATACGCGGTAAAATATCATCCGGACTGGACCAAGTCACAGTCCCCAATAGTAAATGACCCCGCGCTCGTCATGGAATGCGTGTCTCATCTCAACATAGCACCAAGTTGTGCAAATCCGGGGTTTCAAACCCTCAGAACATCATTTAAAATCATTACTTACCTCTAGCCGGTCAAAGTATAGCTCGCTATGCCTTTTCCCCTCGAATCGCCCTCCTCGCGCGTCGAATCTGATCAAGACCACAAGAAATACATCACAATAGGCTAATGGGTAGGCTAATGGGTCATAACCCAATCGAAAAGACTCGAAAAATATCAAAAAATCACGAAGTTGGCAAAAACCCAAGCCCCGGGCCCACTTCTCGAAAAATTACGAAATTCACATCTCCGGATTCCTCATCTCGCCACGAGTCTATACATATCAAAATCATCAAAATTGGGGTCCATTTGACCCCTCAAATTCCTATTTTTAAACTCTCTTAAATTCAAGCCCTAAACCACTATTTTTGACCTTTGATTCCTTGATTATTCAGTCCAAATTCATGTTTATACACCATAAAATCAAGCTCTAAGTCCAAGAGTTCATACCTGATAATAGCCCTCGAATCCCTCTTCAAAATCGCCTCAAAGCTCTCAAGGTTCGGAGTCAAAAATGCTACTCTTTCAAAAATTCGCGAGGAAGATGTTTTCACTTAACCTGCCAGTTATTTCCGCTTCTGCGGATTAATTCCCGCTTTTGTGCCTTCCGCTTATGCGATCAACGTCCGCTCCTGCGGACCTTTCACTTAAGGCGACTTTCCGCTTCTGCAGTCCAACTTCGCATCTGCGGGACCGCTTAAGCGACCCAATGCCCCGCTCCTACGGAACCTGACCTGGGCTCCTATTTCCGTTCCTGCGAGGCCTAGCTCGCTTCTGCGAGACCGCATCTGCGATCTCCTTTCCGCAGATGCGGAAACACCTGCTGCAACCAAAAACCTGTAATTTTCCAACTTCAAATTTCTTCCGTTAGCCACCCTAAATCACCCCCGAGGCCCCGGGACCTCAACCAAAGTTACCAACACATCTTAAAACATTATTCAAACTTGTTCCAATCCTCAAAACACGTCTAACAACGCTAAAACCATTAAATCACATCGAATTCAAGCCTAAGTTTCTTCAAAACTTCCGCAATACGCATTCGATCAAAACTCGACCCAAAACATCTCCGAATGACCTGAAATTTTGCACACACATCCAAAATCACCTAACGGAGCTACAGAAACTCTCGGAATTCCATTCCGACCCTCGGATCAAAATCTCACCTACCAACCGGAATTTGCCAAAATACTAACTTCGCCAATTCAAGCCTAATTCTACACCGGACCTCCAAAACCAATTCCGATCACGCTCCTAAGTCACAAATCATCCCCCGAAGCTAACCGAATCTCCGAAAATCACATCCGAGCCCTCTAACCAACTAGTCAACTTCCGGTTGACTTTTCCAAAACAAGCTTTCCTTAGAGAGACTAAATGTCTCATCTCCTACCAAGACCAAACCAATCCAACTCGATTACCCCAAATACCGATAATGAAGCATAGAGAAACATAATATGGGAAAAACGGGGCGGTAACTCACGTGACGACGGGCCGGGTCGTCACACTTTTTTATTATATTTAAAATATTAACCGGGTCCCAGATTAGCAACCAAAGTTGGTCTATACTCTACTGAGCGACCAACATTGGTCGCTAAAGTTGAATTATATTTATTTATATTTTATAATTTTTTTTAAACAAAATTATAATTATTAATATTTTATAACTGAGTCCCAAATTAGCGACCAAAGTTGGTCTCAACCTGTTTTCTCTTTATATAGCGACCAACTTTGGTCGCTAATTTTAAATTTTATTTATTTGTATTTTTTTATTTTTTAAAAATAATATTCTAATTATTAAAATTTAATAAGTGGGTCCCATGAAGCGACCAACGTTGGTCGCTAATCTGAGTAATTCTTTGACCAAGCAAGTCTGACCAGTCCGGTCAACAGATTGACAAAATTTTCGACCAAGTTGCGACCAACGTTGGTCGCTAATTTATTTAAAATTATTATTTTATTATTTTCACCAGTTTAGCGACCAACTTTGGTCGCTTTTCTTGGCAGACCAACTTTGGTCGCTAAATTTTGGTCGCTGTATGCATGAATTCTAGTAGTGTTTTTTGAGTTGATAATATTGAACAACTTCAAAATATTGTATAAGTGGTCATGAGCGTCAAAAGTTACTGAGGATTATTGCTTTGGACGATAATTAGAATTTAACTAGGTTGTGATAAAGTTAACATAGACCACCGCATGGAAGAAAATATTTGAAAATATATATGAAAATAAGAGCAAGAACACAAAAAACAAACATCGAGCAAATTATAATACAACACATTACGATTTTAATATAACGCGAGCCTTATTTTTCTATAAGCCGTCAAAATTCTACACATGTAGAGTCATGTTCCCTTATTGGCTCTCCTCTATTTTTATTCCTCTATATCGTTCCAGTTTTATCGGGAACACATGTTGGCGCTCTTTATCTTTCCTAAATTGACGACATTATTAGTCCAGAGACCTTTTTGTCTTTCTATTCCTATCTCCTTCCTCGTTGCAACGCCCATCTGGTTCTACATATGTTTTACACTTTGGTGATGGGCGTATGGAAAAATCAACGAAAAATCGAGGGAGGAATAGGTTTTTCAATTGTTGTAGACTTGTAAATTTCAACGATGACACAATTATAAAACGGGGTCATGCATATAAGTCGAAAGATCAATCCTTGAAGCGTGTAAGATCACAAGAAAAGTTGGACACAATGTTGAATAAAGATTTCACCAAAAACATTCGGCAAAGCCGAAAGGAGAACGTCTTTTGCAGAAGTTTCTCTGATGCACTCAAATATGTGTTTTCTGAGACATCATTGGTAAGTCTAGGGTGAAAAAGAAGAAGAAAGAAAACATAGAATGAAACTAGAGAGAATAAGAAAAAACTTGTCCGGAAAATGAAGTAATTATTGAATATGTATGCAATTATTCTTGCATTATTCTTTTATCGATCATAATAATTATTATTATTGTTTGAAACTCTGGACATGTGACATGCACTTATATTATGCATTGCATTCTTATCACTAGACCAAAGCTCTAGGGCACCATTAATTTTATTAGTAACTAGCTAGGTAATGGATTAGAGTTGGATTAATGTGCTACTCGTGATATATTGTTTTTGTCACTTAATCATATATAACAACTTATTGGTAAGATACGTTATTTGTATGTATTATCATTTTCATTTTGTGAAACTAACAAATTAAATTGTTTTGTAGGGGAAGAAGAGTCAGAAGAAAGAGCCTAAGTATTCATTTGGATCAAGTAAGAAGTTATCATTAAAATTGGAGAAGATATTTTATTCAATGAATGAATCAAGGTCTTCATCAAAGAATTTCTCAAATATTGATGGGAACTCGAGAATAAGCTCGGATGATTCTTCCTTATTCACGTCTTCAACTTCAACCTCTTCATCTCCATCATCTTCTTCTTGTACATCTTCGAGATCTACATCGCAGAGAAAGCAATTTCCATCTTTTCACAAATCGAAATCGGTGAATAATATGCAAGTTTATGACAATATAAAAGAAAAAGAAATTGCGTTACGTTACAACAAGAACGTTGGAACTTATTCTCTATTAATCTGTTTATTGGTTATGATCTTTTGTGGGAAAGTTTTTGCCATTGTTTGCACTTCAACATGGTTATACTTTGCTCCTCGTTGTTTCAAACGCATTCATGACTCGGAAGAGTACAAGAGAAATGTTATCGTGGAAGGGTTTTTTGAAAGATCTCATAATAGGTTGTTGTAGTAAAAAGAAGTATATATGTCCCATCCCTATTTAGATATATACTCCTATCCATCCTATCCTTTTTTTTTTTTTTTGAACTTTTTCATTATATATCATGTAAGCCTGTGATATTGCAATGGCCTTGTTTGTCGTATTGTTACATTGTACAAAATGTTACAGAATGACACGAAGAAGAAACAAAAAAAAATTGCATAGATGTAGTACTTCTCTTGTCATCTTAATTACATGCTATTATGCTATTAAACTGTGCTATTAAAAGAGGAGAGAACACCACCTAAGAGGCTAACATTTTGAATAACTAACACACGGTAACAAATTAGAATAATTAGTGAAAGAGGTGATTTTTAATTATATTATATTATAGATGTAATTCTCGTTTGTTTATTTTAAATGCTAATTTTTTAAAAGAACCAGAAAAGTAATTTAAGTCCTCCATCTTCTTTTTTTACATGTTACAGCTTCTTACCAACTTTAGGTTTACTAGAGTCAAAAATTCTTTTTGTACACTAATATCCTATGACTTCTGCTTCAATGTAATTAGGTGATTGTATTAGATGCTTCGATAATAGAAATTTTATAATTTCAAAGTAACTTCTATTCCCTAACGAGAGAAATAAAATGGGGAGAAATTCAAAAATAGCCAGATTTACAGGTGGTCATTAAAAAATAGCCACAGTTTCAAAAGTAATCGAAATTTAGCCACTTTTCATGTAAATATAAATTTATACGAAAACACTGTTCAAAATCCGGAAAAATACTCCAGTATAATATACTGGAATTGCAGTATAATATACTGGAACTCCAGTATATACCGGTCCAGCATAATGTGCTCCAATTTTCAGTATATTATACTGGAACTTTCCGCGTGTTGGAGTTCCAAGGTCATACACAGGTGCACCGATCTCCAGTATATCATGCTGGAATTTTCCGTGTTGCAGCAAAATAGTGGCTATTTTTCAATGACATTGCAAACGCTGGCTATTTTTGAATGACCAGTCTGAAAACTAGCTAGCCCGTACTATTTTTCTAATAAAATGTTACAATGGTGGTAAAGTTTTCATTAATCTCAACTATATGTCAAGCAGTGCAGACTGCTGAAAAGTTCAAGGTGTAGCGTGCGCAAATGTATAATGGGCCATAGTCCGAGCAAATGAACTCAGGTAAGGCAGCCCCCGTCTCAAATATTTTTGCTAATAGGGTCATATTTGCATTTGTATGATATCTCATTGATAATGTATTGTCAAAGTGGAAATGACACAAAGTAGCCATTTTTGCACAAGCGGTTTAAAATATATCCACACCTTACAATATATTTGAAGATTAACCAATTCATTCAAACTCCAGGACACAACGTCCTGATGTTTAAACCTTAAGGTTCAAACTTCAGGATATCATGTCCTAAAGTTCGAAAATTATCTCCGGAAATTCGAATCTTGTGTCCTGAATTTTGAATTAGCAGCTTAAAAATTCAGAATACTTAGTCCCGAAGTTTGGGCAAATGTGGATATATTTTAAATTGCAGGCTTAAAATTATAAAGTGTGCACCTGCTTCATTCAGATTCAGTAACTAATTGAAGGATTTATACTAATAGCCCTGTCCCACACTTTTCATAAATTATGTGAATGCTTATATTGCTTGTAATGAGATAACTTGTGTCACTGGTGGGTCTTGCTAGCTCTATGATTTTTTTTTTTCAATATATAATCCTTCACCCCCATTAAATTCTTGGCTGTTACCTACTTTGTCTATGCAACTCAATTGGACTGATCAATGTGGTACTGAAAGCCAATATTAATGTGACAGGGGTGGTAAACAAGGAGAGGGTAAAAAATTTTGATAGTGCAAGAAAGAGAAGGATTTTGCAGATGCAGATATGAATCTGTAACTCAGATTTGTGTCTGATCTTTAAGTGGACAAAAGAAACAGAGAAACCATTAGTGGACAAAAAAAAGTACTGAGTAGGATCTTGCGGCTTATTACATGCTATAAGTAGATAAGGGTTCAAAGCAAGAATTGAAGCAGAAGTGCAGGGGCCAACAGTTGCTCTATCCTCTGGGCATTCTTATGGGAAAACCACTCTAACAACCCTCCTCTCTTCAACATTATTTATGAATGCCTGAAACGTGGTGTAGTTAAATCACACACCAATTTGTGTAACAAATTGTTTGGTACGTGTCATGACCTTAGAATTGAACATGTAAGTTTGTCCTAAATAGAAGAGGGAAGGGTAATATAAGTGGTCCAGGGTAGAGATGCCAGTATGCCACCTTAATATCTACCTACTTTTTTCTATTCAGTCCAATGAGCGTTTACAACAGCCTTTTTCAAAATAATACTAGTAAACTCTCAGTAATTCTCATGACTTGTTTTCTTTAAATGAGCCAGGACGAATATGGGGGTTAATTTAATTTAATAGCGATATACGTGAGATTTTTAATCTAGTTCGTATTAATTAAAGTTCGATGTTTAAAGCTATCAGGAAGAGTTAAAAAATTCTGGTTAGCTCCCAATTTATACATACTCCGTAGTTAATTACTTTTGCATATATTGCTCGCGTGACATATCATCATTTAAGCAAATAAAGAATAAACTGAAAACATTATTCCTAGTATGGACATGTGTAAAAGCTTTGCACCATATGATAAAGATTAAATAAACTTCATGTTCGCTTCGACATTAAGAAAATTTCCTGCACGATTTAAAAATCCACCTATTATTTCTTATTACTATAATAAAAATACAGGAAGCTTAAGTGGATAATTCATCAACTAGCTACTAGGAGTAGTAATTAGCTCATTTTAAATGTTTTAAACCAATAGTATCGACAATTTAGCATCCTTTGTAGCTGTAGTATTCTTAGAACCAAGGCCAGAGCCCTCTACGATATGGACTACGACAGAGATCAGAAGGCGAAACTCAAACTGCGTGAGCTACCAAAAGCTAGTTATAGGTTTGTGTGAACAAGAAGATCATGCTTCTAATTACTGATAGTGATATACATCTACAAGACTACAATACCAAAATTTCTTTCTCATCTCATGGCTTTAGCACAGCGCCGACCAGCCACGGCAAAACTGACAACTGGGGGATGTTTTGAACAAATAAAAGCTCTCCACCTCACAGCCAAAATAGATGGGGGCATAAGGTCTCTCAGCTTTCTAGATTTGCAGTAAAAACAGAAGAAAACCTCATCATTTAACGGAAGAGAATCTGAGTCACGACCTAGCTAGCCACCTAAGGTGGGTAGGGGGGTCTAAAGTCGATATGGTCCCCTCTATCTACCTCGCGGATTGTATATCTTAGTCGTACGAGGTGCAAAATATTCGATTTCGATGGCTTAATATAGGCGGCTGATCCAGGTCCAGCAACAGTGACGTCGAGAAAATGGATCGGGTTTAATTAATTGGTACCCGGAGCAATATTGGGTTACCGGATTCCTTTGCTAATATGGACTTCTGTTTAAGAGCAGACATGGTGGATTTTGGAGCTCTCTGACCCAGATCTCTCGCCCTGCATGGAAATTGAATTCTTGGGATTTGTGCATAACCCCTGTCTACAAAATATACTCCATTCTCTCTCTTTCCATATGTTTCCTTCTTTTGCTTGTAGGTCTAATAAACTAATTCATTTATTTTAATGATATTTTTCACTTTTCAGATATAAATACTTCTTCATTTTGACTATGTATTTGAACATAAATCTTTTCCAGCTTTTTCAAAATAAAATTTACCTATTTAGAAACTATGTAAAAAGTAATATAAGTCACAATAATTAATAATTCAAAATGTTTAAGAAACATATGGAAAAATTACGGCTAAAAAATAATTCGTTAACTCTAGAAATCCAAAAATCTTCACATAAATTGGGATGATATGAGTATTTGTTATAGCAGAACAGAGATTTGAATATAACCACATTAACTAATTTGAGATTGAAAGTAAGGATTGGGTATTTGACAATTAATTGTAGGAGAGTCCTTCAATGTGTTTTGATGCGTGGTTACATATTTAAGATGTATCTCTAGCAACTTAAGAATGGGGGCATATGAATCTCATTTTGTAAGAGGTCGTTTGGTACAATGGTGGAATATTCTAATATATTTCATGAGATTAATTATTCTACTTTGTATATGAGATAGATATTCATCATTTTAGTATAAAATTTATTCCGGAATTAGTTGATACCTATAACTAAGCATGACATAGATATAATTCCAAAGTTTATCCCGAAATTATTGTCGTTATCTCATGTACCAAACGACCCCTAAAAGAATAAGTACAGTACGTTATCAAAAAGTTGTGTTATATTCTTCACTGCGGAGGATTAATTAGCGTGATAAATTAAAAAAAAATGAAAAGTAAATACTACTCCAGTACTTGAAGTTAGTTGAGAGTTGTGAAAGGTTTATTTTCTTAAAGGTAGATAGGGATAGAGGACACAAGGACAGACATTGTTTTTTTGTTTTATTCCTTTAGGGGCTATACGAATTACTGCAAATATTACATGAACAGAGGGGAATCGGCCTTTTTAGCATTTCCATTTACGAACAAAGAATCAATGACAATCCCTATAACATAGCCTAATCTTACTTCCAGTACATCATTTGCCTTTGCTTTTTTGTCCTTCTCTTTTTAATGTTCACCACCCACTTCATTACTCACCTTTGATTTTTTTTTTCCACACTTTTTTTTATGTCATTCTTTTTTGTATATATTGTGTTTATTGTGCTGGAAAATGTTTTCTGAAAAATATTGTTCTTAATGAAATTACTTTTGATTTTTTTAATATTCAATTACTAAAAAAGTTGATCTCCAATAATTTAGAATTATGATAATTTCCTAAGGTAATTGAAACATAAAACATACTCCATTTTCCATTAAAAAATGTTTTCGATCCATACCAAACACATGATTACTAATTATATATATAAATTGACGTGCAAGAAAAGAGAGTAGCTAGGAGTCAATGCGTACACACACACCTTATTGGTTGAGGATGTTATTTTCTCATCTTGAAAAGAATATTGAAGCAATGATTTGATGCTAATATAAGAAGATCTTCTAGTTCTTTCTTCCTAGGAGATACACTTTTCGGATGAGTATGCTATTTTTTCATATTCAAGAAGAATATCACTGCAATAATTTGTTGCTAATATAAGATAGGCTACTAAGACTATAGCCTATAGGCAAGGCAACAGCC